TAACAACGTTGTACATTGTAAGCACCATAAACTGTGGTTGAAGAACTTAGTTGATTACTACCCGCTACTGACCCAACTTCACTACTTCTAGGTTCAACAACATACAATGTAACATCATCTTATTGCAAAACACAAATGTAAGTAATGAATCGTTCAACATCTTCATTGTCGGTTAACAAATAAACTTTACATTTTCTCTGATAAGATAGCCTAAATCCACTTAGAGGTTCTAAATTCAATTTCTTTGCAACAAGTAACATTAGAGTTTCATAAGTTAACTTTTTTAATGACAGTTTTAGTTGAAGATTCATGGGTAAAGGCACATATTGTAAAATACCATGAACATTCTCCCATGACCCTCAAAAACACAAATCTATCCAAACATGATTAACATTAGATGATTTCATTCTACAAATTGTAAATTAATTTACTAAACAAACGAGTTATAAACTACATATCATCATTAACTTAGAGAAAACATACATTTATTAAGTTGATAGTTAATAATTTGGGAGAGAAATCATTGGAAAAATTATATAGAAATAAAATTATGTAAAAAAAATTAGAGATGGAGAATGATGTCATTGGATATAGAAACGGATGTCACCGGAGAGAGTGATAGATGGAGATGAAATGAGTTGCGATTTAGGGATTTAGGTTATGAGTTGTTGTTGCTGCGTAGTTATATACCCAAAACATTTGTGTTGTGAAACTAAAACCTGTTGCGAAATTAAATTCGTGTTGCGAATTCGAAAATCAAATTGCGAATTTGAAATTAAGTGTTGCGAATTTGGAAATTGCGTTACGAATTTGACTTATGTGTTGCGATTTACATGAAAACTGGGTTGCGAAATTGGAGTTCGCGTTACGAATTTATTGGTCATTTTCGTAAATAAAAAAATAATTAAAATTATATATTATAAGACATTTTCGATCACGGAAATTATTTTCTCTTTCAAAAAAATACGTATACGTATGGATCACATATATTCATCATACACACGTAATCTCAATCCTGATGCCCAATTTCGTACTTTCCTAACTGTACCATGCAATTCACGTAATTTATTTTTTCGAAAAGGGTTATTTTAGTAATTGACATTTGTTACTAAAGGATATGCAAAGCGATATTTACGGGACGATCTTCATTCTTCACCGAGTTAACCAGAAACTTTGCTCTTGATTTGTTTTCTTTTTAAAATTTTGGAGCGAAAAATTGTTGCGAGTAATGCAAGAAATCCACTCGATCGAAGGTGGCTGCATACTTAGCGGCAGCCACGGCGGCGGAGATAGAAGGCTACGGCCGCACAACCACCAAACACTCAATTGTCCACGTTGCGACTCCCTCAACACAAAATTCTGTTACTATAACAACTACAACTTCTCTCAGCCACGTCATTTCTGCAAGAGCTGCCGTCGTTACTGGACGAAAGGTGGCATCCTCCGTAACGTCCCCGTGGGCGGTGGTTGCCGCAAGGCCAAGCGGACGAAAACCAAAGCTTCATCGGAAACTACAACGGCTGCCTCCTCGGCTTTGCCGCACCCGGAGCAACAACACCGTGAGCAAGCTAAAGCGAATTCTCATTCTAGCAGCGAGAGCTCGAGTCTCACCGCAACAAATTCCAACGTTGCAGTGACTAACAACAACAAAAGAAACATTAACAACAACGGTTATGGTGGTGGCACAGCGGAGGCGGCGTCGGCGGTAACATCTCATGCTAACTTGATAAATGTAAGTGAGCCGAAGTTTTATGGAACCCCTAATAATTTAGGGTTCGAGCCAGGATTGCTGGAACAAGGATCGGACTGCGGAATATTTTCAGGAATTGGGGGTTTTACGAGCTTGATTACTTCATCCAACGATGAAACGTTGTCTTTTGGTTTCGACAAGGTATTAAATGATGAAGGACAGTGGCAGCAACAGCAGCAGCAAAAGATGATGAGTATGGGAGGGGAGGAAATCACGGGGGGATTGCTTGATCAGACGGTGCAGGTTGAACTATCAAATATGGCTAGTTCGGGGAATGGAGTTGGAGCGTTGGAATTGCAAGGGAATGGAGATCAAGGGTTGTTTGATCTTGGTAACGATGTTGATAAGACATATTGGAGTCAAGCTCGGTGGACTGATCAAGATATTCCTACTCTCTATCTCCCGTAAATTATTTCTGATCCCTTTTTCTTTTTTCCCCTTCAATTATTTATTTCAACTACAAAGCTTAAAGAATAATAAAAGAACGCCTCAAGGGTTAAGGCTGGATTTAACCTTATTTTTTCTTTATTAATTGTGATAATATCATCAAAGTGTGTAATTTATAGAGTTATATGGGTATATGAATGTAACTGTCTCTCCTTTTTGTAAATTTTTAAATATTTTCTTCCATTTTTATAGTATTGAAGTTTTATTTGGGTGGTTTCTCTCGAACGAGTTTGATTCTTTCTTGTGTTTACATGCTCTGCTTCATTTCTTCTGTTGTCTACATGTTATTACTATGATTTTTTTACTATTTTGATGTATCTGAATTCTAAGTTAAATTGATCACCGAATTGAGAAAAATAGTGTCTGTTGTTTTTCTTTCAATAGTTTTATTTGTAGCTTTGTGCTTGGTATTAATGGTAGTCCTCATCATCACTAATCTCAGTTTTAATTAATTAATTAATATATTAGTATATTAATGGAGAGGAAGAGATAGGATAGGATAGGATAGGATAGGAACTGTTGAGAGCGTACGACTACTCCTATGGTCCTTTTGTATGAAAGATAGAATTGGTAGGGAAGAAGTTGTTTTTGGCGGGTCCTGGAAGAGTTAGTGACTAGTCCCATGCGTGATTATGACTCCACCATGGGCGGTGATGAGACACCCGGCCAGGTTGACCACCTCGACCCCCGACAGAGCGGAGGGCCGGTTTATCCTTCCTTCACCCGTCTTTGTAGTGTTCGTCCGGCAAAATCGTTCAGGTAGGGCAGTGATTTTTTTTTTCAAGTGTGGTCAAAATTTTTTTTATTTTCTCAAATAGGGAGAAAGCTATAGTGCTACCGGAAGATGGCCAATATAACATCTTTTTGAAAGACGACCGAATGACACGGCATCTTTCCTGTAGAAGTATAGAAGTATAGAAGACACGTTGTAATTTCGGTGTGTTCTCCGATGTACTGTAGACAACATTATTTGAGAAGATCATCCCTGGCGGGCACTATTTTGACAAATATTTTTACGCACCTCCCTACTTGGCCGATTTTGCCTGTTCGTCCTGGTATGTAGTGATATTATCATCGTTATTTTGTGATTCAATAGATACGGAACTAGAATTAAATATTAGCACAAGTTAAAATATTATATTATTTAATAAAAATATAAATATTTATTAAGTATTTAAACTCGAAATTTAGTATGAACCAAACGACCTGATTAAGTAATTGTTGTTATCCTTAAGGTGTTCAAACACGTATGTAAAGGTATGAATGTTCATTGTCAAATAGTTGAAATTATTTATACAAATATTGTTTTGTATTCGCTTTAAATAAAAAAAACTCAAAACTCAAAAGATAAATTCTAATTTGTCTAATATTTAAATTTACAATGATTTAAATTGTAATTAGATCAAAAATTTGAGAGTTTGGCTCCTACATGATTAAATATTTAATATTTTTTTATATTTTTTAAATTTAAATATTTATTTTTATATGAACAAAAAAATTATTAAACTAAAAACATATTGAATATATAAATTTTAACGAGGTCGGGATCCCTTAGCCCTAAGGAGCTCCGTCCCTGGATTCAATATATTTGATGATGGTGGTGTTGATGAATGAATGAGGTCAGTTCCTGGATTCAATATATTTGATGATGATGGGTCTGGCCATGGGGAGAAGTGGTATGAGTTCTCATTTCGCCACCTCCAGATGAGTCATGAATCAGTTGTGTTCTAAACTGTGATGAGTCATCCCACACGCCATTTTGCAAGCCATTTTGATTTTTTGAGTACAAGATTTATTATGGGAAAGTGAATTTCCCATGTCACAGTGTCGCATTGCATCTTAATTATAATTCAATGCCCTGTCGATGAAAGCTTGCTTGATTGATGATGCACTAGAATGGGATGGGGTTTCAGTGGTTTCTTTGCATGGTTTTGAACCATTGGACTTTTGGGTAAGGTGTAGAAGTAGTGGGGTTTAGATTAGGTGAGGATTTTTGACTTGGTCCCATATGGGTATGGAAATCGACATCTTTGCAATGTTAGACTTGAGGGGTTGAGTTTTGGGCTGCTATCTCCTTACCAAAACAAGGATAAGAAGATTGCCTTTGCCACGAAGTCTGAACTTAGGGAGGGTTATCATTCGTCAACTTGGCTAGAAGGAGTTTAGGCTGGACCACCACTGGTCCTGGACCTGCTCCTCTGCTGTCCTTCAAGTTTGGCCTAATGTTGCTGCTCATTGGTCCTGTGATCGGTTTAAGTTTACAGCTCAAAATTACATTTGCTTATTCGAAACTGCATTTGTCCAATGATTGGTCTATTCGTTTAAGCTCGAAGGATCATATTCAATTTAAGAAGAACTTCGAACATAAATTTTCATTATAGTATATTTATAATATATGTTTTTTCTCTCAAATCTCAATTAATTGTACTCTTTATCATACATGAATAATTTTGCATTATATGTTATTGTCCTTTGATGTAGTACAATACAACATTAGTGTACCATCAATCTCAGGGTTGTGTAAATTTAATTTTAGAAAAAGGACAAGAAATTAAAACGTTGGCCATTGCTATGAAACGCCCTGATAGGGAAACATGACCGAGTTTGGCTTGACAGTTTATAATCATGTGAGCTGCCATTGCCAATCTGCCATTTTTTGTTTTAACCAGATACCCCCAACCAGCAGGATATAGACGTCCTTCAGGAGCAGCAAAAGTCTACTGTCAACTGATAAATGGAGGAGATTTTCCGTTCGAGTTTCGACCTGGCTCGACTTCAGAATAGTCAGAATTTGGGGTTTATTTCTCTCTCTCTTTGAATCATTGATTTTTCACAAGGTCAAAGATTTCTCCATTTTTCTTAATAGATATTCTTTGAGTTTGCTATTATTGGTGAAGTAGTGAAGGTGAAATATCTGAGTAAGCAGTCAATTGAAGACCAACATGGATTGTTTGGCGCTGGTCATGTACATTGCCTCGATAGCCAAAGGGAAGGATCATTTAGAGATTTCTCTCAACACCGTGGCCATAGATAGCGACTGAAAGCTAGCACCTCAAAACTGTGCCACATGGAGGTGGTCCTTCACTCAATGACTCCTTCCTACATGGTCTTGGTCACTGATTTTGATGTGCCAGAAGTTAGTAAGCATCCCCACTTGATGGATCATAGTGAATATACTGTGTCTGATGCAACTGATCCCATGTCTCCTGATTCAATTTCTTACACAGATGGCATAAACTTGAACTGGTTTCATTTTCTTTTCATCAAATTTAAAGAATTTTGATCATCAACTTGTTGACGTTACAGATTTGCAGCTGAGACCAGCAAATGCTCAATTCTACAGGGGTAATTTTTTCTCTTTTAAAAATCGGGTTTTGATATTGGACGAGTTGTTTTTTCATTAAAAGTTTTAGGGTCAGGTCGAGGTTGGATTTAAGTAAAACTCGCTCCATCCCGCCTAGATAAATTCAAGGCTAAATTGTTCTGTATTTTTATCGATAAAAACCGGGTTGCTGTTGGTGTGAGCACAAAACCGCCCTTTCCGATTTTCGTCCCTATTCAAATGAGGAGAGGATGAATATAATCATTTGCTTTCTGGGAAAACAATTGTGAATCTCACAATATCCCAATGTGTACTAAGGTCTGAAAGTAAAGAGGCGGTGTTTATTTGCTTGTCAAAGGCGACACAAGTTACCTCATCTTAGCTGGACATGTGAGAGGAAAGCATAGTTATGGCATGAAAATGAAAGGAAGAAGCAATGGACTTTGGGACAATGAACTCTTCCATATGGAATGCCGTAAGCAGCAAGGGATTTTCAGCCTTGCTTATGAACGTCTGTCTATGTCCATTTCCGTCATAATCGAGCATGACTGCCGGTTTTCTTAAGTCACCTCCTGACTCAAAAGCACCATTGATGAAAGCCTGGAGAATGATCCTCCTAATACCTACGTAGCTGGGTAATCAAACCCATTGAATAAAATCAAGGACATTATTGATTCTCAGGTAAAACTTGTCAAGCAAATCTGGAACAGCAGATGAGAAACGTAGCAGTCGCTGACAGTACAAAGAGACAAAAGACAATCTTTGCCTTTTTTGATTTTTGCACCCAACTTACTGAATGATAATGTTGGAAGGTAAAAGAACACTTTGTATGACAATTGAAAAGCACCATTGATAAATTCATCATTCAATATCACACCATTGTTGAAAAGCATGATGTTTTTGGAATCCTGCGTAGTACACACATGGAAATTGAATGTCATATTAGATTTACTGTTGTAGGAAAGAAGCAATGGAAGAGTCCCACACAGCAGTGAAAACAGGTTCTCCAACTTTGGTGCTTCCTACTTCCTAGGCCGTCTCGGGTCAGCTTCCGCCATTCTTACTGGGCTGCCATCCCATTCTGATGCCAATCTGTTTCGTAAAACGCCAAACAATCAGCCATTGATGTTTTTCGGGATAACTGAGAAGCACAATGAAAAATCATGTACAGAGAACAGGTTACATGGGAAAAGCAAATGAATGGGAGCTGGCAGTGCTACTACTTGACCGCAGAGAAATGCTACCGGTACATGGTATCGGTCCTGAAAGATGATTTGCTGCAAAGGAACCACAATCGCATTGAGCAATTTCATTGACAATGATTTGACTCGAACCTGTTAGGCTTCTCGTCGTGCTATCTTCAATCCCCGGTAAGTCCTCAGTTTTATGAGGCTGTTGACACCTTGAACCTTGCATAAATTCCTCTAGGCTACTCATGGTATTGAAAGATGAATGTTGATTCCACTCTCTGCTTTACTATTTGAAGAGACCTTGCATAAATGGTTATTGTCATCAATTGTCTTAGTCACAGATGCTTTCATTGGCTTCAATGTAATTGGATCTTCTTCACCATCCTTCATTAAGTCCTCAAGAGCATGTCTTTTCCTTGCATAATTCTGAAAATCCCGTTCAATCTCACCGGAAATAGATGTCATTATCCCAAGAGATTTTCCGGATTTTTCACTATCACTATTCACATCTGTATGATACTTGGAATGGAAAACCTCATACTTCAATCGACTCCGTGAAAGAACTTCCCTGTCAATGAAAATATCCCTGATCGACTGATAATCACTCTCATGAATAAATACAACCACCTCCGGCGCATGGGATGCAGGAAAGGTCTCACTCGTATCACAAACTTTGTTTTCTTCCTTACTAGGACTTGCAGTATACAATGCCCCCTGTATCGGATTCTTCCAAGCCATGAAATCATTAACTCCATAAATTCAAATCGATTTTGTTTAAAAAATTTCAAATTCAAATCGGGTTATAAAGTAGAATAACTCGAAAATTTTGGTAACTAGTGGATTAGTTTTCAAGTTTAAGTCGAGTCCCTTAATTTGTATAATATATGTATATCACATATGAAAAACTATGAAGAAATATCTATGTATTGTATATGATTATAGAAAACGATTTAAGTTATAATAAAATGGTACAATAATATTATAAATATTTATAATTAAATTTAAATGGTTGAATTTCTCAAATAATGCAATGGAAAAAATTATTTGCTCGAATAATGCACTCTACAAATTATTTCGTGAAATAGGGTGAATGCTACAGTGAACCCCGAAGACGCATTGGAGTCCAAGCGTCTTACCTTTCCCGACCAGCCAGCAACTGGTGACGTCAAAGCCCCTTGAAGACGCATGGCAATCCATGCGTCTTCCCCCCCGGCATGTGTTTTCCTCACGTGCATGGGCCATGAACGATCGATGAAAACCCTCGAAGTCGTATCCCCCTCCATGCGTCTTCCCCATCCCATGCATGTGCCCGTATTAGCGAAGAGAACCCCTTGAAGGCCCATGGCTTTCCATGCGTTTTTCCCATCCCCTACATCTGCCTCTTCCCCCTCTCTGAACGCTTGTGGCCCCTTGCATGGTATGCCCGTGAAGCCTCTGCATACATGGCAGCAGTAACAGAGGGGAGAGAGTAGGGGGAGGGGGTCGGTTCCTACGTAGGTGCATCTCCAGCATGCGTCTTATGGGTCCCCTGGCGTGGCCGACAAAGTCGCATGGCATTGAAATGATAAAAGTGTAACCCATACTCTTGCCCTCCTATCCTATCCTAACCTATACCCTATAAGAACAAGTTGAACATTAAAAAAATTCTTTATACTATATATATATCTAAGAATGAAATCGGGGCAATTACAATTTAGAAAATTGATACAGGGAGCAGAAGCAATTGCAATTCAGAAAATTGATAAAGGAAACATAAGTAATTGCAAAGAAGATTAACAAAGTGAGCATTTAAGAAAATTTGGTGTGCTTTTTCTTTTGTTATTCTAATTTGAGTATGTTTTATATGGTAAATTTGTTTAAATTTATGTTATTTTGTATGAAATTAGTTTAATAGTTTATTGATTTTTTTTGTAAGAACGAAGGTAAACTAAGTTTGAAGAAATTTTATTTGATGTATTTTATAATTATTTTTATAAATATTTGTTAATGTTACGATTGTTGTTATGTTTATTTTTATATTGTTGTTATATATATTATATTTTATTCTATTCTAAATACAAATTTTGATGTTGTTGAGAAAATGAGCAACAACTTTTTCACGATTGTCCATTATAGTGGACATATTATGGAAAATGAGGTCGGAGATGTTTTCCAGTCTGAAAGACCTATAAATATGATGTTCAAAAGATATATCACATTTGTAGAAATAAAAAGCAGAGGAAATAAAGCAGAGGATATAAAGGAAAATCCGAGCTACAGTTGATGGTTTGAAGTACAGGTTCATGGTACGTCTCAATCCAGTTAGATATGTTGCAGTACCAGTTGAAGAAGATGATGATATTGAAACCATGATTGTATTACATGAGTCAACAAATATTTCAATTATTGAGTTATTTGTTGATGTGCGTAACATATCTGATGTTCATGGGTCATCAAGAAATGTAGCTGGAAATTCATCTCAAATGACTTTCGGAAGTGAATTTGAGGACCCAATATACAGATCGATAAACAATTTAATGGCGTTATTGGAAAGTGTTGAGTTAATCGAATGACGAAATTGGCCAAGAGGGGGGTGAATTGGCAATAAAAATTTTGTGGAAGCTTTTTGCAGAAAATTGAAAGTAATTGCACAGCGATTTACAGTGGTTCGACTTTCTCAAACAAAGTCTACGTCCACTACCTTAGCTATCCACACTAAGGATTTTCCAACAAATTCACTAATTTGTTCTTTCTTTTGAGGCCAAAGAGATAACCTTACAATTCCCTCAAGAGTATACCCCAACTCTTGAGAACACTCTTTTCTCAAAGAGAAGATTACAAATTTGCAAACTTACAAGAAAACCTCACAAGGTAAGATGTTTGCACAATTCTAGAACAAAGAAAAGAACACTCAAAGATGAATACAACTGAGCACAAAAAGTGTTCTTGAAAGCAAAATGAATATTGAATGAAAATGAGCTTGAAATGCTCAAACTTGAGGTTTGATGCTTTCTCTTTGATTCTCTCTTGATTCTAGTTGCTTGATGTTTCTTGTATTTGATCAATGGCTTCTAAGCTTGCTTAAATACACCTTGGATCACTTCTGAACGTTGGGGATAATTAGAGAAGATATTATAGCCGTTTTAGTGTGAAAACATTTAATAAAACAGCTTGGACAGTGGGGGGAATCGGTTCCCTCTCATAGGGAATCGGTTCCCTAAGTGTAAAATTCAAATATTTCGACCGTTGAACAAGGGGGAATCGGTACCCCCTTGGGGGGAATCGGTTCCCTCCGAGCATTCTGGAAATCTCGGAGCCAAACC